TAGGAGGTAGGAAAGAAATTGTTGATTTATTAAACAAAAGTGGCATTGCTCTGGTGGATGTTGGAACAACAGGACATTGAACAAACATCAACGCATGGTGGGTGGTGTGATGGGGGATCTAGGGATGTTTTTCTATAAGGAACTGTATGAATTTTGCTCTCACATAGAAAGTTCTGGAGAAAACTGTCCAGTTATTAGATTGTGACAATAAGCTCAAGCACAATTGCGTTGCGTAACCTACCAAGAGTCGAAGCTTAGACTGAAATCGTATCAAGATGCTTTACTCCGACCGTAAAACCGTTTGTTTACTCTTTACCATCCTCCAGTGGCCTCAACTGGGAGCCATGTTGTTGAGAAACTTTTTCCCTTTGCAGTTAAACTCAAAATTAAAGACATTTTTGTACTTACTGAGGTCACAATCGACTCATTTTTAGGAGCAGCTGTGAAACAAAACAATGGAAAATTGTGTAAGGACCAAATGCCTTTGCATGGCAAGGTACTCAACGTCTACAAAGCAGAACTTCTCAATAGATCAAAATCTAAGTATGGGTAACACGGATCATGAACAACCAAAACGTAACATTCATTGCTTTAAGCCTATAAAAAACATCAACGATATGGTGTCTCCTAAAGAGGCAAATGACATTGAGTCTTGAATGCTTTAACATCTGGTTGGCTGTAGTCCACTCCTATAGGCATATTAGTGAACAGTAGACAACTTCTTCTGTCTTTCTTTTTTTCCCCCTCTGTAAATGCCTATTCAACTGAGTTGCTGACATCTTTAATGTTCTATCTGGTTTTCAGTTATTACACACATCTATCATAATTTATTCTGTATGTCCTATTAATGAGGTATTGACGTCAAAGAATTCCAATGTTGGTTTCTATTAAAACACCCAAAGCTATTGAACTGCAGGATTGTATGAAACGATAGGTTGGTAGTTTTAATGTTTTCAGGGCCACATCCTGCCGATATGTCTTCCTCCAGGTCAATAAAACCGCTGAATCAGATCAAATGGGTCTAAATCTCTTGACGAGGAACAATCCAAGGAGCCATTAGCAGCCAACCATGAAGAGATCCTTCGCCTATATATACCCTGTAGAACCGAATGTGTGTGGAGCTGCCTTGGTCACAGATTGGGTTCTAGGGGAGTCTATGGGCGATGACTTGCCATCGATCAAAATCCCTGACAGGGGAGGAAAAAGGGTCGACCGTTTGCCGTTCTGCTGCTGCCGAAGGAGCTCATCCTTCCTCAGATTTCTTTCATCTGCTGAAACTCGGTAATCTTCGAGGTGACATAAATCTGCTTTGGTGTTGGGTTAGGCTTCAGTAAGGTGACACGGATATTAAGCTGTCATGTCTCTTTACACAAATTGAGCTACATGATTTGTTCAGTGAGAAAAATGGGATTATGCCACTGGATCGAATTTTCCTGGCATTTTGGCCCACTTAGTTAGGTCTTCATTAAAAACACATGAGTCGGGTTGTGCAAACCCAATGATTTATTTGTGTGCTCACTAAAACATACAGTGTTTTGGCGTGATGCACTCACACCGCTTTAACTTTTGATTATGTTGTCACATTCTGTCAGTATAATTTGATAGGTAATGTTTAAGAAATATAGGTATAACTGGGCTTTTTTGGCAAAAAAATATCGATTGCATTGTCACATATTCGCTTTTTGTTCAGTTTGTATGCTGTACCTCTAACTTGCCTCTAGTCTTTTGGAGCCTCTAATAGTTTTTTCTTCCAGGATTGTTTTCATTTATCTCCATCTATCCCCCCATCAACCGATCAGCTTTCCTGGGTGAAGGGGTGTGCTGAGGCATGATGTAGACTTTGTTCTTTTTATGGGGGTTTGCAACGGAAAATGATTTTTTTCATGTGGGTCTCCGTGGACCACCTTATTGAGTTGCTATATTCCCTACATAGCCTGTGGCAGCATTTTAAATGCAGAATTCGTTCATTGTCTACAGCCAATTAGTATCTCTTGCTCCATAGGAGACATGTTTCTAGCTCTATTTAACATTTTTTGTTCTGAAAACTGCAGAAAAGAAAAATGCACCAAAGAAATAGCATAGTTTTCAAGAATCACCAAAAGTTTTTAGAATGTATGAACTATTTTATATCCAGGGTTTAGATGGCTTTTTAATGTCAAACCAAATATGAAACAGATTTGTTCAAGCGGACAAAAATGTGCCAAAGCAAATTTTTATCTGATCAGGGGCTCATTATAACCCCATTTAGGCTAATGACTCATTAGATGAGATAACCTTCATATAGGTATTAGTTCAACCTTCACATCTGTTTCATCCTCATCAGGGTCCTTCCTCCAACCAAGTTCTCCCCCTTCCCTTCATTAACAGATAGAAGTAAAAATGTTATTAGCTGCAACTTCAGACCTGCTATCCGACAAGACCTCTCTGTTACTACAGGGAATAAAAACTTTATTTATACCCCATTCCCAAATGTGAAAACTGCTTTTTACAGGATTTATCGTATCTTGATCATGCTTTCATCCTCATTGTTCTTCTCTTCGTGTGAGGGCTCAGATTTAACATATATTTTCCATTAGTTTTCATCAAGCATAATTAACGTTTGTCTTTTTCTTTTCTTTCTTTTTTTTTTTTTTTAAAAAGGTTTCATTTTTCTCTGCCTCTGCATCATTTTTTTTAAGGCACACCAATGCATCCTTCCCCTCCTTCCCTCCCCCTAAAACACCTCGGCCTGACCCCGGCCCTAACAAAAAGCCAACTACTAGTCACTGTCTGGGAACCTTTTATCCCCTTTATTTCTTTTATTTTTTGGGACCTTTCTGACCGGCCAGGTTTTTTTGTTGTCCGCCCTTTTGACTCTCCACAAGGCCAAATATGGCCCCCGCCGCCCCTCAATATGGGCGAGATTAATTTTTTTTCAGCCCAGGCCATCTGTGGGGTGAAGAAGTCATAAATCTACAGTCCGAAAGGTGGGAGGAGCAGATAGATAGATAGATAGATAGATAGATAGATAGATAGATAGATAGAT